TTATCCGTCTCATCCTCGCACTGGTCATCAGCATCATCATTAACACAATCACCATCGTCGTCGCTAACGGCATCATCATCATCATCATCGTCGTCGTCATCGTCATCGTTGTCGTGATCAACGTAATCATCAGCAGTCGCAGCAGTCAGCATCGCCATCACCATCAACATAATCAGCAGCATCATCACCAGCCTCGGCAACCTCAGGAAGACTCGGCCTCCTCCTCGCCATCATCATCAGCAGCAGCAGCAGCCATCAAGCCATGAAGCCATCATCATCATCATCATCATCATCATCATCATCAGCAGCAGCATCATCATCATCATCAGCATCATCATCATCACCAGCATCATCATCCGCATCATCATCATCATAAGCAGCAGCATCATCATGAGCAGCATCATCACCATCGTCATCAGCACCACCACCACCACCATCATCACCATCATCATTATCAGCATCATAGTTGTCATGACCAGCATCATCGGTAACATCTTCACCATCATCGTCATCATCACCAGTCGTAATCACCATCACCACCACCACCACCACCACCATCATCATCATCATCATCATCATCATCATCATCATCATCATCATTGGCAGTATCATCATCATCGGCATCATCATCGTAGTCGGTGTCGTTGTCACACTCGTCACCAGCAGAATCATCATCATCCTCAGCATCATCACCATCAGCATCATCACCATTAGCATCATCATTACCATCATCACCATCATCACCATCATCATCATTGTCCTCATCACCACCATCATCGTAATCCTCAGCAGAATCAGCATCGTGATCATCGTCATCATCGCCATCATCATCATCATCATCATCATCATCATCATCATCATCATCATCATCATCCGCATCAGCAGTATCATCATCATTACCATCAGACTCATCATCATCATCAGTGGCATCGTGATCGATGCCGATAGCGCCATTGTCATCAACCAAAGGTGCATCGCAATCAGCATCATCGTCGTCGGTGGCGTCGTCGTCATCATTGGCATCGTCACCATCGTCATCATCGGAGTCGTCATCGGCATCATCACCGTCATCGTCACCATCATCAACATCAGCATCATCGTCGTCATCATCAGCATCATCACCATCACCCTAACCATCGCCATCGGCATCAGCGTCGTCATCGTCAAGATCATCATCATCAGCATCATCAGCATCAGCATCATCAACATCATCATCACCATCATCAGCATCACCAGCATCCTCATCATCAGCCTCATCATCATCATCATCATCATCATCGCCGTCACCACCATCACCATCATCATCGTCATCGTCATCACCATCGTCGTAGAAGCATCATCGTGAGCAGCAGCAGTAGCAGCTGCATCTTCACCACCACCATCATCACCATCATCACCATCATCGTCATCATCGTCAGTATCATAATCATCGTCAACACCACCACCGTTATCATCGTCACCATCGTCGTCACCAACGGCATTATCATCATCAGCGGCATCATCATCATCATCATCATCATCATCATCGTAGTCGGCGTCGTTCTCACACTCGTCACCAGCATCATCATCAGCAACAGCAGCATCATCAGCACCATCAGCATCATTATCACCATTGTCATCATTATTAGCACCATCATCACCACCATCAACATCATCACCAGCATCGTCGTCGTCGTCATCTGAATCGTCCTCATCACCACCACCATCGTTATCATCATCAGCATAACTAATCAGCATGAGCATCATCACCATCACCCTCACCATCGCCATCGACGTCAGCCTCGTCATCGTCAGGATCATCATCATCATCATCATCATCATCATCATCATCATCATCATCATGAGCATCATCATCATCAGCATCATCATCATCTTCATCATCATCGTCACCACCACCACCACCATCATCATCAGTATCATCATCATCGTTGTCAGCAGCAGCATTGTCAGCAGCAGCAGCAGTAGCAGCTGCAGCATCATCATCAGCAGCAGCAGCAGCATCATCGTCTGCAGGAGCAGCATCATCATCACCATCATCATCTTCGTCGTGCTCATCGTAAGCATCATCGTAAGCACCATCAGTAGCGGCATCAGCAGCATCATCATCAACATCAACATCATCAGCAGCAGCATCATCATCAGCCTTGGCAGCCCTCGATTAATCAGCCTCCTCCTCCTGGCCATCCTCATACTCCTCGCATTCATCCTCCTCATCCTCGGACGCATCCCTCTCCTCAACCTCGCCCTCCTCCTCCTCCCCCTCCTCCTCCTCCTCGCCCGCTATCCTTGATCCTGCCGCTCTCCCATACCTTAAACCCGACTCGGCGCGTCGCTTCATGGGCTCGCGACTCCTCCTCGGCCGCATCATCCTCCCCTTCCTCCTCCCTCTCGGTAGCCATCTTGGCCGAATGTGGCTCAGTCAGGAGCCTGGGCCTCAGCTCGCTCTGAGCTGGGGCAGCTTGCCGCCGCGTGCGCAGTGGCCGAGGGCAGACCCTGGCGACTCCAACTTCGTAGAGTACGGCGTGAAGTTTATGGTCAAGCATTCAGGCCCTCGGCGCCCAGTCTGGGCAGGCTATGCGCCCGGTGGGGCAGTAAGCCGCCTAGCACTACCAGAACCTTGAGCAGCACGACGCGGTGCAGTACGACGCTGGGCCGCACGACCTCGAGCAATTAATTCATAAGGGTTGCGGAAACGGCTACGGCAGAATTCGCAGCACTCGGGCAACACGACGTCGAGCAGTACATCGCCCACAAGGTCGCCTTGAAGCAGTCTGGCACTGAGCCGTCTAGTACCGGACTATGCGTCTCGCATGTCTTCATGCGTGTGCGGCACGTCGTTGACCAGCACCGTGTTCAGTAGCAGTGTAACTGAAGTACGTCTACCAGTGGTACTTCACGCAATCTGCCGGTGACCAGCACCACGTTGAGCAGTGCACGCAGAACTCAGACCCCGACTTCTTGCAGCAGGTCATTTGGAGTCAGTTGCAGCGCGTCGCCGAGTAGCACGACTTTGAACTACTTCTACCAAAGTGCGCTTTCGAGCAGTGGCTCATGCAGCACGTCGCTGCGCAGCACGACGTCGGGCATGTAGCAGAAGTACGCCTTAGAGCTGCACTTCATGCTGAGCGTCGCTGGGCAGCACGACATTGAGCTGTGCAAAGCCGGGGAGTGGCACCCTCTCCCGGTGTAGAGCCTCCGTGCTTGCAGTCTCTTACCTGTGAAGGAGGGGGAGGAAGAGGAGGAGGCGGAGGAGGAGGGGGAGTGGCCCTGCCCAGGGACTGAGGTTCGCCCGCGGCCCGCGGGATGCGGGCGGGCCTCCGATTTCACTCGATCTGACGGGTGCGCGTCCTCTTCCTCCTCCCCTCACTCGGTATTCTCCTCCTGCTCCTCTGCCTCCCCGTACTCGGCCTGAACAGATTCGCGGGCCTCATCCTCGGCACCTTCAACACCCCCTCCTTATTTCCCTCTCCCTCAGCCCTCAGCCTCCTTCTCCTCGTACTTACCGTGTGCATAATCGCCGTTATCATCGCCATCATCAGCAATCATCATCATCATCATCATCATCATCAGCAGCAGCAGCAGCATCATCATCATCGTCATCATCATCAGCAGCATCAACCTCATCATCAGCATCAGCATCAACATCAGCATCATCAGCAGCAGCATCATCACCGTCATCATCGTCAGCAGAAGCAACAGCATCGGTATCAGCATTATCTGCAACAGCAGCAATATCATCATCGGTCTCCTCATCATTGTCATCGTCCTCACCCTCCGCATCGGCCTCTGCATCGTCCTCCTCATCACCTCGTCCTCCTCTGGCGGAGCATAGCAGTGGAGTATGAGCGTGGCGTAACTATTATCCTCCTTGTCATCATCATATTCCTCCCCGTCCCCCTTGAGTTCCTCATCTCCTTCGGCCTCCTCCCCTCATCCTCCTCATCATCTCCTTAGCATCCTCTACGTCCGCCCACCCTTCCCCGCATGCCTCTCACCCTTCTCCTCCTCGTACACATCGTTATCACCCGTTTCATCAACAACCGTGTCATTAATATCGTCATGCTCGCGTCGTCATCGTCATCGTCATCGTCGTTGCCATGCCCATTTCGCATTACCAACATCACCTTAACAGGCATCATAGTAGATATCCCCATCACCAACATCAACACCAGCGTCGTCGTCCGTGGCCGTGTTGCCTCAAATTTCGTTGCGTGTGTCGCCATGCATCCTGCTCTGAGAAACGAAATGCACCAGAACACTGTCTGACGGCGCTCACCGTCCTCGTCCCCGCCTGGGAGCTCTGTCACCCAAGTCGGCCCTCGTCTGCTTCGCCTCGCCGTCGGTCGCATGGATGTCCTTCCTCGCTAGAGTGGTCCTGGACTCCGCCGCGCCTGGCAGATACTGAAGCGGCCGATGCCGTGGCAGGGGGCAACGTGGGCGGCATCGACCTCTGCCCCACTGGTGCGGGCAGCGGCGGCGGCGCCCTCTCCGGCGAGACCGCTGCGGGACCTGACAGGGGCCGCCCCCTCGGCACAGGAAGGCGGCCGCGCCGCAATGCGCAACCCGTCGCACTCGCGAGCGTCCGCGTGCCCCCCGAGCCTGCTTCTCGAGGTCACCGAGGCCACAGCCTGGGCATGAGGCAAGCATGTCGACCGCCCCCTCCTGCTATGTTAAACCTCGCGGCTTGCAGCGCTCGCCGCAGCATGGGCAATGCCAGCGCCTCTTCAGTTTGCCGAAGTGCCCGATCCCTTGTCCTCACAGGTGCACAGGCGCGTATGAAACATAACTTCGTCCAACGAAGGGAAGAGATGATGGCATAGCAGCCGGACGCACCACATATATATATATATATATATATATATATATTAGAACGCCCAAAGGTGCTGGAACAACACCGTGAATTGGTCTGCTTTCTCTGTCGTGGTGGAGGCTTGCTGGCCAGACAGGCTGCAGAAGTCGAAGCAGCACTGCGTGCAAAATCCCTCCCCTTCAAAACATCCGCTCGATCATCCAGTGTCCTGCGGAAGCAACGCTGGCAAGGGCCCCAAAAAGTCACTCGGCTTCTCGCCTTGCTTCATTGCGTTACCCATGTCAGCCTGCTCGGCGGACTATAAGCTGAGCGTGGAGGCAGCACGTGTCTGGCACATGCTCGGCCGCCGCGCGACTGCGAGCGCGGAGGTGTGCTGTCGTCTCCGTCTTCGCGAGCGCGCACGGCAAGTACTCCAGATTTCGTAATAAAGGGAGGGGGGTCTCATTTCGGAGGGGGGTCTCTTCCAGGCTATCTTGGAAGGCCTAGGGGGTCTGGGGACGATGTTTTGGAGGGTTCTCCCACGGGGGAGTTCTGAAATGGCTTGTCTTGGAGGGTCCAGACCCCCTCCCTTTTTATTTCGAAATCTGGAGTACACGATCCTCCTTCTTCGCGGCTGACAGCACGAACCTGCTTCACGCCTCCTCTGAGACATCGGCGCGCTCCGCGCAGGCGTCCTCCATTTTCTTGTCCCCCCGAAAGGCAGTTAGGGTGACTTACAGCACGTTCTGAAATGAAGCGATGCTCGTCCAGCACCAGACAGATCCGCTTCCCCTCGTGGGGGTTATAAACGCACCCATTGGATACATAATCCTCCACCACCTCCTCCTCCCCCATTTGCTTCTGCTCCTCCTGCGCGTTCTTCTCCTCCTCCTCCTTTCCCCCCCCCTCCTCCTCCTCCTCCTCCTCCTCCTCCTCCTCCTCCTCCTCCTCCTCCTCCCTCAATATCCTCTGCCCTTCCTCCTTTCCCGTTATAAAGGGCATGCGGTGTGCACCATCTCGCCCTGGGTCCTGCGCGCTCCTGCCCGAGCCGTGTGAAGGGCGGGCGGCCAGCTCCGCCGAGCTCGCTAGCAGAGGGCGGCGCGCCGGAGCACCGCTCGTGAAGCGGTAAGGTTCCCCAACTCCTCCTCCTCCTCCCCACCCTTCCTTCTCAGCCTCATCGCTCGTTCCCCCTCCTCCTCGTCCTCCTCCTCTTCCTCCTCCTCCTCCTCCTCATCATCATCATCATCAGCAGCAGCAGCATCATCATGATCATCATCATCACCACCACCACCACCATCACCATCAGCAGCAGCATCATCTTCGGCAGCAGCAGCAGCCGCATCAGCATCATCAACATCAGCATAATCCTCATCAGCATCAGCATCACCATCATTAGCATCAGCATCAGCATCAGCATCAGCATCAGCATCAGCATCAGCATCATAATCATCAGTAGCATTATCATCATCAGCAGCAGCAGCATCAGCATCATCATCATCACCAGCATCATCATCGCCATCATCACCATCATCACCAGCATCATCCTATCACTTCTTCTTCATCGTTATCATTATATCATCCTCTCCTCGCCCCCCCTTCCCTCCTCATTCGTGCGGCTCTTCCGCATTGTCCTTGTTATCCTGATCCTCTACGCCATCCTGCCCCTCCTCGTCGCACCACCAAACGTGTCGGTAAGGGCGGGCCGAACGTTTCGCCTGAGACTTCTCTCAACATTTCAACAACCACACAGAAAAAGCACAGAGGTCGTTTTCAAAATGTGGGTCTCGCCTTCGCGCCGCGCACGTTCACTTTAAAGTTCCCATCCGCCTCACAAATAGAGGACGGGCCGCTTCGACATCTGGCCATATCTTGGAACACTCTCATGTGCCATGCTCGACAAAATTAAAACGCTTACATATACACAATGAAAGCGCATATTCTTGAAATGTGGACACCGCCTAAGACTTTAGTGCATCGTAAGCTCCTGAAAACGGTAAATGTTCAACACACGGATGTAGGGCGAACGGTTATCGAAAAACGCGCGCTACGCATAGCGCCGACCACACTTTTCTTCAAGAGTCTACTAGCTATTCAGGGCAGCATCATATAGAATTCATTGCGCGTTGTGAAGCAATGCGCCTGCACTCGAAATCTGCAATCGATAATGCGTAACTCAAAGCACATAGGGCTACACCCAAGCAGGCCCACAGGACCGCACCTTTCCAGCGTGCGCTCGCGATAGTGGCACGAGCTACTCGTGTTGACGTCGGGGAAAACTTGGGCGTACTCTGGTCATCCTCCTCCATCTCCTCTAAAGAAACTTCCGGGTGCGAGGTCGAGTGCTGTCTCTGGCCCCTGTCGTGCCTGGAAGGAGCAACTGAAGCACAGGTACCAGTTGCACTCCCTGCAGTCCATCAGCGGGTCGCCCTCATTGACGATCCTGTGGGAAGGCGGACAACGGAGAGGAAAGATAGGAAGCAGGGGATAAGAGCGAGTCTGCCGTATTCGCATCGCGCAGGTGTTTGCAAGGCTTGAGCCCGTCGAGCAGTGTGTTCACAACAGGCGGGGTTGGCAAGACAGCGCGGGGATGCGTGTGGGGAAATCGGATGGCGAGGCTCCAGCCTAAGCCTTGGGAGCCCCATTATCATCCACCTGCACAAGAGCCCTTTGAAGCTTATTGGTGAACCCTTGGATCCTGGTAGCACTTCGCACAAGACAAAATGACCCCCGACTGCCAGCCCTCGCGACGATGCGCCACAGGTTTGGTTTTGGCGGGCCCCGGGCCCGTCCCAACCACCACGATGTGCCACGTGCGAGACATGCATTCATACCTGGAAGCCTTTGGGATACGGCATCTTGAACTGCGGGTCGCACCAGCCCGCTGGACCCTCAGGGACACAGCAAAAAGCGGGCAACTGCACAGTGAGCGGCACCCAAACAGCCGAAAGCAACAGCTTGAATCTGCGTAACGCGACTGATCGCCCGACCGTTGACAACAGCATTTGACAACCGTGACAGCCTCCTCCCCTTGCCCCGCCTTGGAGAAGAGCCAGCTGCTTATGAATGCCGCTCTGCATTTCCAACCAGTCCGAATGCGCATCGGCCACCATCACCAAAGCCTCCTGGAAACCCTGGAAATGTCTGAGAGCTGTCTCCGCGTCCACGGACCCCGCTCCCCTGACCATCCCCTCCTAAGCCCGTCACGGGGTCCTCTGGCAGCCGTCGCACTCGCCCCCGCCTGTGGCACTCCAGGATGCCAGCGCGTGCCCCAAGGGGCAGGTCAGCGACGAGCCACCTGCCGAGGTTCTCGCTGCACGCTCCCCGCACCATCTCCGCTCTCCAATTCCATCCATCCATCCATCCCTCCTTTCCTCGATCCATCCATCCATCCATCCATCCATCCGTCCATCCATCCATCCATCGCCTCTTCCCGCGGTTTGCCTCTCTCACACCCGGCCTGACCCACCATGTGTACTGCTCCCGACTCCTCTGCTCCATGTAGCTCTCTCTCTCTTTCTCTTTCTACCTCCAGTCCTCCCGCACCCATTTCCACCTACCTCCCACACTCCCGTATCCCCTTCTCCATCCCCTCCAACGACGCTGTCGCTTCCCTCCCTGGTCCTCACTACTTTGCCCCAGCGCGGAAGACACAAAACATGGCAACCGACCACTACCGTCACAAGTCTTGCAGATGCGAGGCGTGGCCATGGGGCCACTGCTCAACACATGGGCTCTTGCCAGGATGGCAGTCTGACAGCAAGCCCGCAACGCACGCAACACGTAGCCCGAAAGGTCACCAGCAGGACCTGGAACCTACCGCACGTTCCCGATCAAGAGCGCATCCGCGGCACGGCCCACCTCCTCGGAGCGACAGCGGTCGAGGACTAGCACGAGCGCCCCACGCTGTAGTCGATCTCGTCGCCCCAAGCTGTCCATCTAGGTCCCTTGGGCCAGGTGCATGTCCACGCCACCTCGGGCCGACCAGCCATGACTGGGGGAGCTGTGGTCCTTACCCCCCTGGGGCCCTGGGGGAACCAATCGCATCGACGATCTCTCGAGAGAGGGATGCCGAAATCGATGGGTCCCCCAGCGGGGGTAAGGACCACAGCTCCCCCCAGTTGTGGCTGACCCGATCGGGGGCGTCTCGCGAGGAGCCATCGGATCCCGCTGGAGCACCGCTCAGCGGCCGCAGCCCGCCGCGCACCTCTTGCCGTGCGCCCCCCGCGGGGCTGGCGGGTGGCCACGGGCAGGTGCGGCGCCCCCCATATCCGCCACGGCTCGGTGGCAGGGCGACCGAGCTCGGGCACGCCGCCTGCCGAGAGGGCATGGCGCTCCTCCGCTCGCCCGCTGCCGGAGACGCGGGGGTCCGCCAGAGACTCCTGGCTGTGCCCGCGTCGTTGCGGCGGGACGCCTGCCTGCTCCCCGCCCGCCTGCGTGGTGGGATCCGTCGGGCGTGCCGCAGGACCCCTGGCACACCTGCCGCAGTGGCGGGCCGCCAGCAGCTTGTCAGCCTGGTGCTGACGCACAGCGCGCTGCCGAAGCGCACCAGGCGCACCTCATTGACATTAGGGTGTGGCAATTCCCCAGGGTCAGCCTAGGCCTAGGCCCTCACCGACCAAGACATGCCGGCACGGGAAACAACGCAGCGCTCTCATTGCTGAATACACGCGTATACATATGTGTATAGATACACATGTCACAACACCAAGTGGGCAGCACCCTCGCCATACGGGAGTCGCAGGGTAGCCTCGCAATCAGGCCGCTCACCTTGTTCTGAAAGATAGCCACCTCAAAGTGCTGGAGTGGTTGGCCGTTCTGCAAGTCACAGACAGCGCTGCTTGACGGGGGGGCACGTCGATTCAGATCACGACGGTCTGGCCAGGCTCTTTCTGCAGGAATTTCTCCAGGGCCGACCGGAAGTACACATGCTCTTGATTATCTGAACGTCGACGAACGCATGCAGGGTCGGGTTGCAAAATGGGCCCCGCGGTGGGACCACTTGAAGCCCCCTCCGTCTTGGGCTCTCATGCTTGGGGCCCTTCTGGGCATTCGTGTCCCCACTTTGTGCCGTCTTGGGCCTCCATGAGGTATCTTGAGACCATCCTAGGGCACTCGCTTAGGCCGTCTGGTCATGGCCAGCCTTCAGGCCTGGGCGGTCATGGGCCGTCATGGGGCTCTCTTGGAGTCTTCTGATGGACTTCTGCGCTCTCTTCGGCCCGTCTGTCTGGTCGACCGGGGCATCCTTGCCACGCAAGCCTGGATTGATATTGGTAACAGTCTCCCTCCGTTTGTTGTAGCGCGTCTTAGCCGCACCGTCGTGGGTCGCCCGGTGGCGGACTTTGGAGGTGAGGTTGGCCCAGCAGCTGGGCGCCTATCTCCAAACTGATGATCCAGCAGCCGAATATCGGTGGGACCAAATTGGTACACAGGTAACTGCAAACCATCCAGAATCCGGATGAAGCAAATACGACTGCCCTTCCCGCCTCCCAATTTCTAATTTCCCTCATCCGAATAACCCTCCTCATCGTTCCACTTTGCTCAATCTCGTTCCCCAACTCCCCCCTCCCATCCTTCGTCGTTCTTCCCTCATCCTTCCTCTTTCTCCGCATCCTCCTCCTCCTCATGCTCATCGTCCTCCCCATCTTCCTCTTCCTCTTCCTCCTCTTCCTCCTCCTCCTCCTCATCAGCAGCAGCATCAGCGTCAGCATCAGCATCAGCATCAACCTCATCAGCAGCATCACCACCACCACCATCATCAGCATCATCAGCATCATCATCATCATCATCATCAGCATCATCAGCATCATATCATCAGCAGCAGCACGATCACTATCTCAATACATTCATCTATCCATCCATCCATCCATCCAGCCAGCCAGCCATCCATCCATCCATGCACCACCCCTCCCTCCTCCTACCTCCCTCCTGCCACCATCCGCAATTCTCCCCCCTCCGCCTCATCATCATCCCTCCTCCCTCCCCTTTCTCAATCTGTACATTTCTCATGTTTAGTCTTCCCTCCCCCCGTATCCCTCATCCCTCATGCCTCCTCCTCCTCCTCCTCCTCCTCCTCCTCCTCCTCCCTATCCCCCTCGTCCGCATCGTCGGATCATCCTCTCATCCTCCTCCCTCTCGACCCTCTCGATTATCCTCCTGATAGCGACAATGAGCACAGTGCCCCAAAGCTACGCGAATCGGCATCGCCGATGCGCGTCGTGTCCAACATACAGCATCCGTACGACACTAGAATGAAGTGAAAGGTGCAAGACCCTTGGGCATCCATAGTGGTAGACGATGGGTCACGAAATTGGCCCAGGATGGGCCGAATCGGCAAGGGGCTAAGGATTTCCTGTGGAAACAGCATCATCATTATCGTGCCTGCAAATCGCGCGGTTCGGAATCGGTGGTGTTCCCGACGCCAAAAACGCAAGGTGCCTGAAAGTTTCAGTGGGATCCCATTTGCCATCTGGAGATGCTGCAAAGCGCCCCCTGTGGCAGGCGCTCCCACTGCAGATCACCATGAGCCATCTGGGAGTACGGGAAAACGCCGCCGTATTCGGCAGGAGCTCCAGCTGCGGGGCCAGCTCCTGGCACGGAGCCGAGCTGCTGCGCCTTGCCCCCGGGAGCTGCCACAGAGCCGCACCGGAATTCACTTCCCCTCCCACCCCACCGTGCCTCCCCCTCCCGCCCGCTTACTACCCCCACCCCCTCTACTCGGGCGCGCCGAAGGAGAGGGGGGGGCAGGAAGAGGAGGGGGGGGGGGGGGGGCGCATCGTGGCCCAAGGCAGGGCATGTGCGCAGACGAGGGCGGCCAATGTACGTACGGAAAGGAGAAGAGGGGATCATGACATCTGGGGGACTTCCTGGCCGCGGGCGGGAGGCGCGCTAGAGCAAGCACACCCCGCGGCAAGGGGCGGGGGCCGCCTGGGGTCGCGGCACCGTCGCCGCCCGAGGCTCGTGTGGGCCGCAGGGTGACGGCGCAGCGCCCGCAGGCGTACCAGTTGCACTGGGCGCCCACGGCGCGGAGGGGCGGGCGGGCGGGGCGGCGGCGCAGCGGCCAGGCCAGAGCTGGGCGGAAGGATACGGCGGCGAAAGCGGGACGGAACGAGGGCGGCAAACAGCTCCTCCGGCACCAACTCCCCCTTTCTCGCTCACCCCTCCTCATTCCTCAACCTTCCTCAGGCCTTCGGGGGAGAGAGTCACAGGTTTGCGCATCGTTCCACAGGTCTGCGCCGAGGTCAGCAGGCCTGCGTTGAGGGGTCGCGGGTCTGCGGGTGGGTTCACAGGTTTGCGGAGGGGGGGTCCAAAGTCCTGCTGAGTGTTTCACAAGTTTGCGGACGAGTCGTCCACAGGAGTGCGGGGGGTCTCCCTCCTCCTCCCTCCTCCCTCCTCCTCCTCCTCCTCCTCCTCCTCCTCCTCCTCCTCCTCCTCCTCCTGCCTTCCTGCCTTCCTGCCTTCCTGCCTTCCTGCCTTCCTCCCTTCCTCCCTTCCTCCCTTCCTCCCTTCCTCCTCCTCCTCCTCCCCTCCCTCCCTCCCTCCCTCCCTCCCTCCCTGTCCCTCCTCCCCTCTCCTCCTCCTCCTCCTCCTCCTCATCATCATCATCATCATCCCCTTCCGCCCCACCACCCCTCTCCTCCTCCTCTTCCTCCCCTTCCGCCCCCCCCCTCCTCCTCTTCCTCCTCCTCCTCCTCCTCTTCCTCCTCATCCTCCTCCTCCTCCTCCTCCCTCCTCCCCTCCTCCTCCTCCTCCTCCTCCTCCTCCTCCTCCTCATCATCATCATCACCATCATCATCATCACCATCATCACCCTTATCATTAGAATCATCGCCATGATCATCATTACCATAACCACCAGCATTACTAGCCACATACCCATCACATGCATGATAATCATCCACATCATCACCAGCATCAGCATCATCAGCATCAATATCATATGCCGCATCATCGTCATCCTCATCATCAGCATCATCAGCATCATCAGCATGCAAATCATCATCACCATCATCATAATCATCATCACCGTCGTCATCCTAAGCGTCACCATCACCATCGTCATCGTCATCACCATAACCATCACCATCATTATCATCATTACCATCACCTGCATCACCATCACCATCACCAGGAGAATCATCATCATCACCATCATCATCATCAGTACCATCACCACTATGACACGTCATTTGTCAACAAACATCACGATTCAACTGCCATCGTCGTAACGCGCATGCCAGCCACTACGAAAGCTAGTTGGAACAGCAGATTTGTGGAACAGGGGATGCAAGGCTTCAACGGAGCGGTTGCATTTGAAAGCCGCGTATCTCCTC